TGTTGTGTTACCGAACCCTGTGAGTACCAAAACAATTAGAAGGGAGCTTCATAAACAGGGAAGACTGGCCGTGCTGCAATTGAGAGCCACTCATCAGTGATGCTAATGCCCCGTAACAGGAAAAGGTGGTGTTAAAGTCTAAAAAAGGACTATAGAGCAGTGGAGGAAGCGAGTAATATATGGTCTGACGAGTCTTCTTCACATTGTTTCCATTCTGGCCGGTTTACGTCTGGAGAAACGCCATCTCAAGCCTATAATACGACTGCTTGTTGCCATGAGTGAACATGGCGGGGGTTCTGTTATGGTTTGGGCAGCCATATCGTGGTTCTCTGCTAGCCCCATGATAACTGTGTCAGGGCACATGACTGCCAAGACTTATGTAAACGTTCTGACCGATCAAGTTCATCCCATGGTACAAACTTTGTTCCCCAATGGTGATGGTGTCTTCCAAGACGACAAAGCCCCTGTTCACACAGCTCACATTGTCCATAACTGGTTTTCTGAGCATGAGGATGAGTTGTCTCCCATCCCCTGGCCACCACAGTCACCAGACCTGAATATTATCGAACCTTTGTGGTCTACATGGAACGGAAATGCGTTTCGTTATCCACCGCCAACATCGTTATCTGAACTTGCCACCGTTTTGCATACAAGAATAGTATAATAATATTCCCTTGGCAAACATAGAGGAACTGTATTTATCCATTCCGAGAAGACTGCAAGCTGTTTTGGATGCCAACGGGTTTCCTACACCATATTAAGCAAAGAAACATATTTTTTTAAAGGTGTTTCCATATTTTTGTCCAACCCCTGTATATAAGAGCTCAAGTAATAAGCTAAAATGATACCAAAAATTACGATGCTAGAAGTTTCTAAAAAATTAGTCTTAGCAATGCAGAATCTACGTCTTGTACAGTGACTGCCTTCGATTCCCTTCCGCCGCACGAGCGTCTTAACAAAGGTCGCGTCGTAAAGTTGTTTTTTTTTTTTATTTTTTTTGTTTTTTTTTTTTTTTTTTTTTTTTTTTTTTTTTTTTTTTTTTTTTTTTTATTTAAACGATTTAGGAATTATGCATTTCTAAAATGAAAAACTATATATATAGTTTAAATTTTAGACCGTCTTTATTATCATAAATTCAAAATCCTCATATTAGAGCTTTTGTTTCGAACAATGTATACTGATGGATTCAAAAAAACAGTGAACTTGAAATTCAAGCTTATCGTTTAAAACTACATACTCATATTATATAAAAAGTAAGCTTATTATTTAAAACCACATACTAACATCATATAAAAAGTACTCCCCTTGAACTAATACAAAAATATGTATTCTTTATCAATAATTGAAAACTTTAAAAACAACGCATAAAAGAACTTTTGAATTCTAAAAATAGATTATGCTCAAATTAAACCCTTAACTGCCGCGGGCGTATATATACGCCTTGCTCAGCCGATGCGTTAACTGCCCCAGATGCGCAGCCGATGCGTTAACTTTGTGAATAATTTTAGGTGTAGCAGCGCAAAGCAAATGATAGCAGTTTGGAAGGACGTATATATACGCCTGGGGCAGTTAACGCATTGGCTGAGCAAGGCGTATATATACGCCCGCGGCAGTTAAGGGGTTAAGTCTATTTTTCCATAAATAAAGGAAAGGTGAAACCATCTAATAAAGAATTTGAAAATGAATGTGAAAAAAATATGATCATATATGAACTAAAATGAAATAAATGCAAAATAATTTTTCATAAATTTTATATACAGTGTAAAATTTCAGCTGACTCATATATGTATAACTATGCAATGCAGAATTAATATAAGGTTTAAAGTTTTATTAGATTTTTCATGATCAGAAAAATCGGTACTCTTTTGTTATCAGGACCAGATTCAGAAACAAATGCATGTATGAATGTGTATATATGGATGTGCATATATTGTCTATGTATACATACATATACAAACCTATATATATACATACATACACATATATCCATACATACATTTTTTAATCCAGTCCTGATAACAAAAGAGCACCAAAATGCATATTAATGATGTCAAAAAATATTTATTCATTTACAAACAAGTTTCAAACCGTAATGTTGTTAAATAGAGAAAACTAAAAGTGGAAAAGTCCCCCCCCCTCCAAATAAAAAAGTGGAAGTAATTTTACACACACTGGAACAGTGGCCCATAAAAACAAAACATTATCTCTTTTATAGTTTCATTTATATAACTAGAGTACTCCTTTTTTTTTCTAGACATATTTTCTTTCTTAAGCATTTAAAAACCCTTTCCTTCAAACCAGGTTTATGAAATATGCAAAAAATATCTAAATTTCCACTCTTTTGTAATAAAATTGTGTTCCAGTTGATATTAAAAGTTTTGATCAATTTGATAATTTGAAAAAGTTCATGGAAAAATATAATTGATTTTAAAAATTGTTGTCTATTAGCACTGAACAAAATATCTTCAAATCTTTAAACACTTTAAATGTCATTCAAAACAAGAGTTAATTATTAACTCAGAATCTTCTTGTATGAAAAATAAGCTAAACATGGTGGAAGTTTTCATAATTTTGCTATAACAAATTCAATCTTCAGAGAAATAATGGACATGAGACAAATAACTATATTTTTTATGTAGACAAAACAGAAGTGGGCATGCATGTTTTATTTGCTACAAATAAAAATATATTGTATAAATATTTTCTAGCTTTATTCCTGGAATTTTTTTTAATGTGTAATATTTCATGAACCTTTTTGTTTTCTCACATATCAAGTAACTATAGAACAAATTGCAAAAAATTATATGTCCACATGAATGTTCCAGCCTTTAGAGGTATCTAAGGTATTTAATAAATAGGTATGCTGAACAAAACGATTTTAAAAAGATCAAGTATGTCCCTCCTCCTTTAAAAAAAAGACAGATGTATATTATAAGCAGATATGATGAACAATAATGATTTCAAAAAGATCAAGTGTAACTTTTGCAGTTGTCATCTACTTTAGCAGAAAGATCATAACTTTTCACTAAATATATAAGGCAAGATTGAAAAAGCTTTTCCTTTCACATTTGCTGTCCCTAAAATCAGCCTTTTTTACTTCCACATAATAAAGAAAGCTTCAAATTTTTATTTATTAAAAAAAGTCTTTGCTAAACTAGAATATGGCAAATTTTAAATAACTACTTATTTTGATTTTTGATATGAATTTTGATACTATTGATTAATTTTGATATGAATTTTTACTGATGCTTATTTCCTTGATATTAACAAAAAGCTATATGTTGCTACTCTTTTTAAACAAATTAAATTTGACAGCAACAGTTTTCCTTTTTACATTATAAACTGCCCCTGAAAAGGATTTCCCCCCCCTAAGCAGTAAAAAAAAAAAAAAAAAAAAAAAGAGAGAGATTCAAATTTTCATTTACAAAACCAGCTTTCACAAAGGCACAATTTGCAAGTTTTATATTTCAGTTTAGTTTGAATTCTTCTTCTAATGTTTATTTCCATAATAACATTGTACACAGACAAATGAAATCTTTATGCTACAGAACTTGTATTTGCATTACTACAGTACACATTTGCATTAGAAATGTTGTTTAATGTCATCATTAAACAACATTTCTAATGCAAATGACAGTGTTAAAGAAAGAGAATACGACAAAAATTAGGCAACTAAGATACACAATATATGGAATTAAATATACCATTTATTAATTATACTAATGTGTATATGTCAACAAACTAATTACTTAAAAGTAACACATTAATAAAAAGTACAAGTTGTTTATCAATATAATGAATGATCTCTTATTCAAATTGCATGTGGGTCAAATGTATGATCTGAAATCAGCCAACACACTGAATTTTTGATTAAATGAAAAGGTTTTCCAACAAAACAATTTTAACTAAATTTTATTTACTAAATACTAACCAGAGCTTTAAACAGCAATAATAATGTAGCAAAGAAAAAATTTAAATATTTATATTTATTTTCTCTCTGAAATCTAAAAGTCGTCAAGAAAGTAAATTGATGTCTTCAAGAAATTTCTGAATGCTACTCTTTGTAATTCAAATAATTCTAATATGTTGAATAAACCACTAAAACTAAAAATAAACAAATTGCAAAAACTTTACAAAAGGGGCAAAACTTGAAAATAAATAATAGCAACCTATTCTCTTTCTTTTATTTGTAAAATTTTTTTGATGCATATACAGAAAAGATATTTGTACATAAAAATTCTTATTTCTTACTACAACTTTCTGCTACAATACCTGATGTCATTTCAATTTTGATAAAATTTGTAATATTAGGAGAAAATTACTAGAAGTATCTTCACCCCGAATTGTAGTTGCTCACTGGCTCATTTTTAAAATTTTCAAATGGGGGAGGGGACCTGCTCAAACATAAATGTACTTCCAAACAAAGTTATCATTTTCACTGAAAAAACTCATACATGAGGATACTTTTCTTTTGAAAAGTATGCCAAAAAAAAAAAAAAAAAAAAAAAAAATTAACTTAATTTATCTTCAGAACTTTGATTTATATCATAGAGTAAATTAATACCTATATTTGTAGATCATCTTAGATCTACAAATGAAGCTATTAATTTACTTTATAATATAGTAACAGTATTTATGTTTGGTATAAAAACGGTTTATATGTTTGTTTTTAATGGTAATGAAAATAAAGTAAAGTTGGACTCCAAGCATTAAAATTTTAAGTCTCATTCAAATCCTTGTCATAATAATTCTAATAAATTTACAGAAAATCCAATTGCAAACCACATAAAATTCCTTCACGGTCTGCCAGTTCGAGACCACTGTATTAATGTAAAGCTTAAGCCAATGTATATTATCACATTCTAAAATAAAAAGCTGTAGTAAAAATATGAAATAATAAAGCAATATGTTTTGGTGAAGTTTATTTATTAATTCATAAAGATAAAAAAAAAAAAAAAAAAAAAAAAAAAAAAAAAAACCCTCAATACAGCATAAATTACCTGGAGTATGGTTTCCTGAGTTTAACGTAATTCCACCTTGCCCACCAATTCCTTGTAGGCCTAAAGCATTCAGCCCTAAAATAATTTCAAAGCAGGCATTAAACAAAAAGGAAAGACAAAAAATACACTAACTTTCATATTAGAAGACTTTTTCTGTACAGTAAACTTTCAAGAGTAATTATTGTTGATATCCCAAAACATTTAAAACTGTAATGATAAAAATACTCCAACTAAAATACTGGTATTACAAAATAAGAAAAATATACTTTTTTTAAAAAAATAATTTCTGAGAAAAATATTAAAACAAAAGTGAAAAAGTGTGTGGTCAAATAATAATGGAACAGCTCTGTCAAATACAGTACACAACAGTACAAGAAGCAATGTTATGACAGCAATAAGCATAAAGAGAAGTCATCTGTTGTTTTGCTCCTACTTCATTTGTATATGTCATCAAAAATCACACCATCTGTTACAAAATTTTGTTAAATTTCATTAACCCGTTCAGGACCAGCTTCACGAATACGCGACACAACGATTTCATTTCTACCTGCCTGGTGTCCCGTATATGCGACACAACGATTCTGCTCCTACGAGCCCAGCATGGCATATATGCGACATTCAAATGGATCGATTTATTTGAATTTTTTAAAGGGCAATAAATGGAGCTAAGTGGTAATTATTTTCACGTGGGTTGATTCATATAGCATTTGACCTTCATGTACTGGCATTAGTTTCTGTTTTGTGCTTCTGGTTTTGAGAGATTTATTGAAATAAACTAACTGGAAATCACGACTCTTTATAAGTGCACCTGTGAATTAAAGGGGCACAGGCATTTTTGTTTATTTCGTTGGGATTTTTTTCCCCTATTTATTTTGAAACTTAACATAAACTTTCTTGGTTAATTAAAAAGTAACATTACAACATTATTACAGAAGGGGAAAGACTATCAGCTTTCTTGATGCATAATGCGTCTTGCTCGCAATTCTCAGGAAAGAGCCAGCGTTTTTGTTTTTCTTACTTAATTTAGTAGGTCATTATATATAATGCCTTGAATGGTCATTATATATAAAGGCATAGGCATTATATTTTGGTATATAATGTATTTACATATAATGTATATATTGATCAGTACCGAATATCCCTCCAGTAGGGGGTCTTTCCTTGATCACTTTTTGGTCGTCGTGGATGCTGTTTTCAATTTAGAAAAACAGGAAGTTTTCTAACATAAGCCTGATGTCACACAACGTTTGAGGATGAAATATTTCTCAGTGTCTCTGGAAGAAGTTTCGGGACATGTGCTGGGGTTATATTCAGTTTCATTCCGTTAGCTATGGCTAAGAGACATTACTTAAAAACTTGTCCAAAATCAGAGGACATTCCACCTTTCTGTCTAACTGGAAGACAGTTTCCAAAAATTTACATTGATGGAAAAGGTAATAAAGGCAGGAGAAGACGCGTTGTGTGCGATAAAACCAAGGAAAAGCGAAAGCAAACAACGTATTTTGAGTGCAAAATATGCAACGTAGGACTGTGTGTCGATTCTTGTTTTGATTTACTTCACACACAGCAGAATTTTTAAATTGGAATTTAATTACTTACAGTTTATTTTTGTTTAGTTTTCTTTTTTTAATTTTGTATTTGTAATTTTTTTTCATGTTTATAGCATTTATTTCTGTGTGTATAGTTATGATTTTAGTATTTTGCCTGTTTAATTTATTTCTATTAACGTGATATACTTTATATTAATACACATTAAAAACAAGTACATTAAATATGCATCTTCAAAAATTGAAGTCATAATATCAAAACACTGATTTTATACGATTTTGTTCGTAAAATTAAGCTTAACTGCTGAAAATGTGTGGGCTGGTAGCGACAATCCATTTCAGTGAGTCCGGTTCCGTGAGAGTGCTTCATTCTCCCAGCAATGGTCCTAAGAGGTTAAGCACTGCTTCAAAATAAGTAACTATCAAGACTTATACAATATAATTTGCTGGAGAATTAACTGTTGGTAGACTGGAGGCAGTGCCATCCTAGTTAAGGTTGCAAAGAATGTAATGTTTTGTGTCATTTGCAATTTGTGAAAACACTTTTAGCCCAAACTGATTACTGTCAGAAAACCTGCTATTTACAACCCTCTAACTTCTCATACAATAGAGTAGGTCTGTTGCAATGATCAGACTTGGACCTATTTTCAGTTAGCTTGAATTCTCTTAAGTGACAAGTTTAGATTTGACCTAGACTCTTACTTCATGTTCCTTCATCTAAGGAACAGGAACCTGATACCATTCTTGTAACATTAAGGAAGGGAATCATTACACTGGTGAAGATGTCACAATCTAGTTAGTCACCATCGGTGCTTAGCAGTCTCCCCAACTGCTCAGGGATATACAATTTAAGGCAGCATTCAGATGGTGGTTTAATTACAGAACTTTCAGTCAAAGTGTAAAAATTCATTAGCATCATAACAATAGTTGGTTGCCAGGCAATGGCAATTCTTTTACAAGTTACAACAGCTATACCATATATAAAACCTTTAGGGGGCTCTCTTATATAAAACATTTCAGATGGGCAACAGGCTCTCAGTTTTGTTTTTACAATGCTAATTCTTACATAAAGAATTCAAGTAGTTTTCAATATGAAGATATCTAGGACATATATCAGCCCAGCAAATCGCCAATTAAGATGTCTTGACATGTTCTTAGCTGACCTACTTCAAGAATTATCCAAGAGCTAGAAACTGTTTTGCTGTAGAAGAGCCTACGACTTCAGAGATTCATCAACTCTCTAGTTAACAGTACGCCGGACTGCATGACTTATGTGTCTGTTAGATATGACCATACTCCCTATTAGCCTCATTTTAGATGCCACCTTGCAATGAATGTTTTGGGCATTTCTGCTACTAGATGAGCACTTTCATTGCTGTATGGTATAAATTCCTGTTTTATATTTACTACACTGCATCTACACCAAATTAAATTATATCTGATACCTTATGAGAAATAATAACAACAGCAATAATGAGTTTATTCTCTTAATTTTGAAAATAAGTGTGACTGCCTTAACAATAAAAACAAAATTGTATTTATTTGGATATAATTTTTTAAAATTCAGATGCGTTTCCACAGAAAAATTTCACGCAATAATAATGCACTAATAGTAATAAAAAATGTTCTGAAGAAAAATTATTTGGCAAAACTGGGCCCTTAAAAAATAAAACTGGATTTCTTTCATTTAAAACACAATGAAACTCCCAAGTATTGTTTTCTACCCAAATTCAGAGAACTAAGAATAAATATAATGCTAATACTTTATATATCTAAGTATTTAAATAATTTGTTTCTTAAGCAGAGAAATAATTTTAAGCTCATTAAAATGCACCTGAAATGTATTAAAAAAAATACAGTAAATTATACTATGGCCGAAGAGGACAGGTAGGACAGATCCAGGATTTGAATATTGCCGAACAGGCTGGCTGCAAGGGCATCTTCGTAGTTTTCCCCCACCTGTAGTGCGGATACGAGCTAATTTCCCTTAGCAAGTCTTCCATGAAGGCATCCCTTCCCTTAGACAGATAGCTCTCATGTGTTTTGCAGTAATTAAATAAACCAAATCATAAAAAATAAAGTACACGTGTGATGAAGAAAATTCTTCTAAATGTTTTCTTTCTAGTATTCATAATTTAATTTTTGCATCTCCATAAAATCACTTCAGTTACTCCTGCACAGTGATACAATTACAGTTGTTCAAAATTAAAATAGAAGTTATGATGACGCAGGTACTATAGGAACATATGGATATGCGAAAAATATTCAGACACCTACCATTAGAAATGCTTTCATTGAACTTGAAAGAAGAGTTGAGTGAATCGTCTGCTTTTTTACCTCAATGCAGATTAGAGGGGAAAAAACTTTTATCATGATGTCAATAATTTGGTATTTCCGTTATGACTCATTATTATTCAGTTTTTATGATGTCATTATTCGGTAACTATTTTTCTTTGATATTTCGTACTCGGTGTTGCGGTTTCTGGAAGCTATAAACTGAATGTTTATATTTTGAGAGGCAACGCGGATTTTCAGTATTTGACTGTAGTTTTAATAGAACTTTCAAAGACAGAATGGGACCATAAAGAATTTAAACAATTAATTGGTCGTGTTTGGTTAAAGCTATTTCAACTAAACCATTTACTCATTTTAACATAAATTTTGTATTATTTATTTTTAAGTAGTAATTATTTTATTTCAACATATAATTATACAACATATATTTTTTTAATTATTTTAAGTTCAAGAAAATGCCAAGCAACAAACAGTTAGTTAACTCAAAATTCACAGAGGGTGGAAGGTCTTGTTATAAAGCAACACATATTTCATAAAACCATGGAGCACTTTTGCAAATTTTCTCTTTATTTTGTAAAGCAAAATTTAAATATATGTTGAAATAAAATAATTACTGCTTAAAAATAAATAATACAAAATTTATGTTAAAATGAGTAAATGGTTTAGTTGAAATAGCTTTAACCAAACACGACCAATTAATTGTTTAAATTCTTTATGGTCCCATTCTGTCTTTGAAAGTTCTATTAAAACTACAGTCAAATACTGAAAATCCGCGTTGCCTCTCAAAAATATAAACATTCAGTTTATAGCTTCCAGAAACCGCAACACCGAGTACGAAATATCGAAGAAAAATAGTTACCGAATAATGACATCATAAAAACTGAATAATAATGAGTCATAACGGAAATACCAAATTATTGACATCATGATAAAAGTTTTTCCCCCTCTAATCTGCATCGAGGTAAAAAAGCAGACGATTCACTCAACTCTTCTTTCAAGTTCACGTTTCACGTTGTTGTATTTTCTGAGCTTTGTTATTTCACGAGATTATTTGGTGCTGCCTTCTTTTTTTATCCAGATATTTTGTGGATAAATTAAGAATATTTTAAATTTCAGCCCTTTTTTATACAATTACAGATAAGAAACATATTCATGATTTTACTGCTTGCAACGCTGAAAAGCGTAAACACGTTGCATTGAGGGTAACGCAAAAAGTGCAAATTCTGCAAAAGA